CCAAAACAAGGCTAATCCTGCAGTTCTCTTGTCATCAGCAAAATGATGATGATACAAGGAAAATATTGCCACATTAAGGGAAGCAAGGGAGGAAGTTTCTTCCCAATGTGGAGTCAGAAGCAAGCAGAGAAAACATCCATGTAATAACAGGCAAAATGTTTCCAAACAGTAACCTTGCCTTTACACATTCTTATGGTTTTTCAATATTAAAAAGAAGATAAAACAGTTTTAGGTAGGACTCCTGGCATCAAAATATGATGAGCTAATGATGCCCAGATGTAACTGACTTCATAAAAGAGAAGTGCTGCCTTTTACTTTGTAGGTCAGGCTTTGTTGACAGAGACCAGTGCATGTGACATGAGCTAGTTCTAACCTGGTGTCATGACCAAAGAAAAAGTACTCTGCCTATTGAAGGTGCTTCTCATGGTAAACTGTAAAGTGTACATGGAGTCCTGCAGAGCAGACTTTTCATGGGGATAGGACAGGAATGGCTGGAGRTTATAAATTATTCCCCAGGTTGTTGCTCATCACTCGTGGTTCTCTGTGTGTTGTTCCAGTATARAAGGAGGGCTGTGTGTCCCATGTGCTTGGGCTCAGGCTATGGCAAGGGCACAGAGCAGCCGCTGGTATCCGCCCTCTGCTTTGGTTATTGGACTACAAAGCGTGGAGGTGGAGATGCCAAGTACAGCCTGAGTGGGCGTCTTGACCAAACCCCCACCCTGTCTCCTGAAATAGTGATCACAGTGAAACCTTCATGATGGATTAGCTCTTGTCCTGAAGAAAGCAGAACTCAGAATAGCCTGGAGTGATTCTGTTGGCCTTGTGCATGTAGTGGGTATATATGACTTGTGTCATTTCACCTTTTTGAAATMCCCTGCTGGCACTTCAGCTGAATTMCAGCTTTTAGTACAGGTCAGTCCAGAGTCACACTGAGAGTTCCTACTCTTTAGTCATCTAAAACAAGGGAGAATGATCATAAATTGATGAAGTGCTTAGGAGAGGCAGGTCAGGAAAGGCCCAGGTAGAATTACAGTGTGGATGAACCTGTATGAACAGTGGTCCTTCAGAGCTGGGCACTGGAGTCTTTACCACTTCACGTTCTTGGGACATCTGCCAGCTGCAGAAGAAACAGCAGTTAAAAACTCAGGCAGTGTGATGGACCCAATTTTCCCTTCTCTGACTTAGATTCCAGTCTGMGSTTCCTTTGTTTCTGCTGCTAATGASTCCAGYTTAAGCCACGTGTTGGCATCAGCAGAGCTCCCTTGTTTCGTCAGTCTCTTGTTGTAGATGTTTACCTTGGGAATGAAAAACCATATTGATTGCATTAGAGGGTTTAAGCTTATAGAGCATTTTGAAGTCCACATACTCCAGTTTTATTGAGCTGTGTTTTTCACTTGGTATGAGGAGGCCACCAAAATAAAAAACCCAATCCCCTATCAGAAGCTTAAGAGACCCTCAGGAGAAAAAAAAATAATTAAGATTTACTAGAGGATATTGAAGGACACAGAAACATTTGATGRTATCTGAAACAGAACATTCTGTCCGGAAGGGTGAAATCTGGCAGCTGTACACTGGAGTATGACCAGAATGTGGAGTGCTGAAGGGACGATTGTGAGAGCACTCGTGTTTGGTGCATCCAGCTGAACCAGCCAGCAAGTAAAGGACCTGAGAAGCAGGGGTGAGGGCTGGGACTGTGGGCAGGGGTACTGGGCAGGCAGAAGGCTGTGCCCATAGCGAGACTGCTCACTAGTGTGTGCTTGTGACCACAGAGATCTCCAAAGATACAACTAGCACAGGAAAAGGGAAGTTGAAGCAGCTTAATTTGTTTTCTCCCTGTTTTTTTTTAATTGTTCACCAGCAGAGTCAGTTGCTCTAATGCTACCTATTCTCTTCTATAGCCATAGCAATAAACTGTTTCTGTTCTGTCCTCATCTGAATTGCAATTCAGGTTATTGCCATGACAGCATCTGGTGCTATCGCTGGGATTCCCATGTCCATGCTGCAGCTGGTTATCAGTGTAGGTGCTGGGGCTCAGGGAGCACACGTGTGGGAAAATGGGCATCAGGGAATGTTGTGGCACTGTGATCTGGGGGATCACAGAGATGCTCATAGGTGTAACTTGTGTGTTTGGGAATGTGTAGGAGGCAGGCTGCTTTCAACCTGGAGTGAGGGAGATGTAGAGCGAGTGTAAGATTGATAAAGAACTCGTGTCCAAGCTGAGGTGACTGAACACTGTGCAAGCAACCAGCAGGGACGTCTCTTTGTTTTTGCCTTCAATATGCACCCCCACATTACTGCAAAGAAGGAMTACACTCTGAGATCCTGTGGCAGGGAAGGAAGGCTAATAGACTTCTCTGGTTACTTTGGAAGAAGACATCAATTCAGGGAAGGGGGACATTCTAGGCTGGGGCTGTCCCCAGGACTGACCAGACTGCTGGGGGTGCTTCTGCAGAGCTGCACTTCTGCTTCCCCCACGTCTCTCCCTGAGGTCATGACTTTTTTAATGCACTGAATGCCTTTAACCTCTTTGAGAATGTTAAAGCATCAAAAGATTTATCTGCAGTATAGTGGCGAGGGTGTCTCAAGCCCTTTTCCTCTCCTAGACTGTGTCATCAGGYTTCTAGAAAAAGGAAACCTTTTGTTTCTGGTCATGTCTATAATTTAATTAATAACAAGAATTTTAAGATTTCATGTTGTATTTAATTTCTTCTGAACCTCTAATGTGATTATGTCTCCTCTCCTAGTCCCTCTTCCTTYGCTGTGATACCTGGACACAGCATGATCAAAATATTCTAGTTTATCTGGCAACACATTCTAGATGTGACTCAAACTTTTCTGTGCAATCAGAGCTCAAAGACTTGTTCCTGTAAATCAGATTAATGCTGGTACTACTTTTATGCTATTGATGCATCAATAAAGTCATGTCAAAATGCCTGGCTGAAACCATTTCCTAGAGCACTACAGCATCAATTCTGTTTTACAAATAGCAGAAGTTTGGAACAACGCAGAGAAAATTAGAAAAAAAAWWAAATTTAAATTTAAACCAAAAAATCAGGGCATTTAGGCTAAGGGACTATCTATCTCAAGCAAGTTTTAGAAGACTGCATTCCTGCCTTTTCCCTAAGACTCTTGTGCATATTAGCTTCTCTGGTGTATTCAGTGCTTTTGTCTTGCAGAGGCTGGGATGGAGAATGAGATTATAGGTAGGAGAATTAGCCCAATACATTTAATTCTTACTACAGAAAYGTTCCTGCTCAGCTTTGGGGACAGAGATGGATTGGATTGGCTAAGGAAGGGATTTTGGGAGCTGAGGGAGCCTGGGACAGCTCTGTCTCTCGGGTAGGGTTGTGTGCTTGCGTTTGCTGTCTAGTCTTTATGTTCTGAGTGAAAAAAATAAAGGGAGATTGCAAAATCAAAGCTTGTGGTAAGTAAGAATTGCAGTGCCTGAGGGAGGGAGTGTGAGCTGAACACCCTCATTCCCCCSGGGCAGCCAGTGATTCTTTCTCAAACTCTCTATTTCAGAGCACTTCACTCTGGCCAGATAAGAAATAAAGATTGAAAGGGTGGCTTCACCTCTGGTCAAGTGCAGGCAGTGACTGTGTCTGGAGCTGAGGTTTCTCTGTCTAGGGCTGCTTCGAGTGCTTCCTAATGCATCCCTTCATTGGGATGGAGATAGTGTTTTACAGAGGATCACATGGACCTACATTAACTAATTTTTATAGCACACCAAATATAACCACTGAAATGGTACCTGAAACTCCAGGAGCCAATCCTGGCTRTGTTCCCCTCTCCAGCTGTGTCTGTGTCCAGTTTGGCTTGTGCTGTTCTGTGCCTCAGGAAGTCAAATCCTGCCTATCTCTGAGAGACACCCATGGGTGCAAATCCCCAARTTGTCTATAGTGCACCCTGTCCCTTCTCTCCATGCCTGCATGTGGGAATGAACTGGAATGGTCTGGAACGGGCTCCGCACAGGGAGTGCTGCAGTAACCCATCCCGTATGGGGTTTTGTCCTGGGCTAAAGATTTCTCCATTTCCCTGCACCAGGAGGGATGAYACCCTGCAGAGTGAACACCTGGGCCCCCGGGATCCTGCAGCCCCTTCCAAGTYCCCTTTTCATTGCAACTGCGCCATGTAGCCACCTGGAAGGAAGGCAGGAGAAACTATAAAAGCCATAAAAACCCAGAATAAAACCATGGACAAGGAGATCATCCCGCACCTCTGCAGAGGCGAAGGCCAGGTCGCCTCTGTCCCATGCTGGGCAGGTCCTAACATGGGCCTGATCATGGAGCCATGAAAACCYCAGCAGGAGCCCAGTGTTCTGCTAAGCACCGAACAGGAATCCCCAGGCGAGAGTAAAAGCACCTCACCAGTGCCCGTGAAACCTGCAGTGACTGAGTGTGCTGCTCTTGTGTGTTCAGGTCAGGGGAGTTTCAGAGGTGTTTTCTGCCTTTCCATATTCAAACCGCACACCTGCAGCCCCCGACTGTGTAGGAGTCGTGTGTCCTGCCCCGCAGAACCTTCACCTCCGGCAGCAGGYGGGGAGCAGCTCTCCCGCACCCCGGGCTCTCGCTCAGAGCCCACCCGGCCCCAGGGCAGCCGGGCCCCCGGGGCAGGGGCTTGGGGAGGCGGAGGGCAGAGCCGGCGGTAGGGAAGGTGTGTCCGGAGGCTGGACCGCTCCGTGAGTAGCCGTGKCTCCGCCCCGAGGTAGGGGCGCCTGTCGGGACAGCACCCCCGCCCGCCCCGGGGCAGTGCGACCCCCAGGGCGGGCCGCCGCCGCCCGTGCCCACCTCCCCGCCCCGCTCGTCGGGCCGATATAGCCGCGGGGGGCGGACAGGGGCCCGCCCGCTCGCCCCGACGGCAGAGGGCAGAAAGCGGCGGCTCCCGCGCCTCCGTCCCGCCCCCGCCCGCAGCGGGACCCCGCGCCGGCAGCACCCAGCTGTCTGCCCCTCCCCACTTCCCGGCAGATCCCCCTTTCCCTTCCCGRCCCGGCTCTTCCCGGCATGGCTCTGTCCCTGGCCGGCGAGTCGATTCCCGGAGACGGCGGAGACTCGCTCGGCATGAGCCCCGCCGGCCTCGCCTCCTACTACCCYTCTTTCCTTCCTCCCTCCCAGTACTTCGAGACGCCCCCCGACTTCTTCCAGCCCCTGAAACCTCTGGGCGGGCTGGTCTCTTCCTCCCCGCCTCTGCCTCCGTTCACCTTAAGCAGGGTTCCCCCTCTTCTGAGTCAGCCGCCCCCCCTGCCCGCCGAACCTTTCCCCAACCTTCACCTGCCCTTCTACACCAAGCTGCCGGCCCCCTTCCCTCCCGGTGAGGGCTCGGCCCTCGGGACGGGGGCCCCGGTGTCGCTGTCGCCGCCCTACCCGAGCCCCCCGMGCACGGCTGCCCGCAGCCCGGCAGACGGGGCGGCGGGGCAGAGCTACAGGTACCACTTCACCGAGGAGGAGCTCAACGCRGTGCTGTACGGGGCACTCCGGAGCAGCCAGCCCACCGGGAACCTCCACGCCATCTCGGGGCTCCGGGTGTCCCCCGCCAGTTCGGGTAAGGGGATATTCGACGGCGGCGAGAGGGGCACAGGGTGACACCGGGCGGTAGGTCGCTCCTTGCAGCCAGGTGTGCGGGTGGGTTCGGGGACAGTCCCCAAAGGGGTGCAGGCAGCCAGGCTCGAGTGGCATCCTCTCGGGGGCACGTCGGACTTTCTTTCCCCGTGGTTTTCTTGCTTTTCGAGCCCAAACGTGGAAAAAGACGGAGGTGATTCGGACTGCCRCCTCTGTCGGGGAGGTAGGACCCGTTCCTGCAGGGCCGGGGCCGTGCTGACCAAGGGGTTCCTCTTCTGCAGGCGCTGCGGACTCCTCCGCTCCGCTCCTCGACCGGGACTCGCTGCAGCTCCCCGAAGGTAGGTCCCGGGCCCGCCCGCGCTGCGCCCGCCCGCGCCGCGCCGCGCTGAGCCCCGCTGTCACCCGCAGGGCTCTCGGTGATGCGGGTGGCCTACGGGGACGTGTCCCAGCTCGGAGTCTTCTGTACGGACCCCATCCCGAAAGGAGTCCGCTTCGGCCCTTTTCAAGGCAAAGTGGTCAACACCAGCGAGATCAAGACTTACGACGACAACTCGCTGATGTGGGAGGTAGCGGAGGCACCGYCGGGCTCACCCCGCACCCCCAGCGCGGGGCCGGGGCGAGGCTTTCGGCCGCCCTTCCACCATAGCCTGAAAAAGGGGCTCTGTCCAGTGTGGGTGGTGGGACTGGGGCGGGCGAGACGTGTGCGGACGTGTGCGAACGAACTTGATCCTGTTTTYTCTGCTCTCCAGATCTTTGAATACGGTGGCCTGAGCCACTTCATAGACGGGAAGGGCGCCGCTGGTAACTGGATGTCCCTGGTGAACTGTGCCAGGTTCCCCGAGGAGCAGAATTTGACGGCAATCCAGTGCCAGGGACAAATCTTCTACGAGACCTGCAAGGAGATCTTCCCGAAGCAAGAGCTGCTGGTGTGGTACGGCGATTGCTATGTGCAGTTCCTGGGCATCCCCATCAGCTTGAAGGGCATGGCGGAGGGGAAGAAACCTCCGCAGCACCCCGAAGGTGAGCCTGCCAGCAACCCCTTGGGCGTCATTGCCCCTTATTCCCACGGAAGTGTGCCTGACCATGATTAGATTCACACGAAGGGAGGTAAAGAAAGAGGCATCACCCTTTCCAGCTGTGTTTAATTTTAAAGGCTTCCCAGACCCTGCGTTGAGGCGGTGGTGGGTGACCGGTCCTGCCGCGGACCCGCAGTCCCGGTCCCCCCGCGCYTGCCCGCTCTCCCGGGGAGCCGATCCCCGGCCGCCCCTTTCTGCAGCCTCCAGCACCCCGAAGCAGCAGCTTCCCCTCGGCGCCGGGGAACCTGGGGGTTGCACCGAGGGCTGCCGGCAGCACGGAGCTCCCCGTTCTTCCGCTGGCAGTCAGTTCCCAGTCCGCGTTTCCTTGGAGAGTTAAAAGTGTTTGGTCTGACGATTGTAAAACATCTGGTAGTCGTGGCTGAGCGTGCCAGGGCCCCGCAGCGCCGTTGTTCAGGGTCCCGTTTCGGGACGAGTTGGACTTTCCGGGGTTATTCCAGTTTTGRTCCTGTTTCATCTCACAATTGCACKCCTGACTTCGTGATAATTTTCGTGTACTTAACGCTCTCGGTAAATAAGGCAAGCTGAAGTCGTTCCGATCCCGTAATRCCGATATTGCTTGCAAAATGCCCTTACGACGGGATGAGGGAAGGGGGAGAGTAGTTCCGCTTGTAATTAGAAGGTATAATGTTCTTATAAGCAAAACTTATGTATGGAGAAAACAGCTTGTTCCAGTGCGGGAAGAGCTGAAGTAGGGAAGGGATGACTCGGCCGGGTGCAGCAGAAAGGGAGAGAAGCAAATTCGCGTCAAAATTTGGCATGGAAAATTTTGTACCTGTTGTCTTGAAGTGTCTCATTCAGACAGATGCAAAATCGTTCGTTTCATCCTAAGGCTTAAGCTAAAGTTACCTTTATTAAAGACAGAAAAGGATTTGTAAACGTCTGAAAATTTTCTGGTGTTTTTCTTAAATTCAGCGGCTAAGGATGGTTTGAAATTCCGTTTCAAAACAAAAGAAAGTCAAATCGATATATTATTTTATTCGATAAATATTCGAAAACGATAGAAAAGGTGTGCACAATTATTTTTCTTTTGGGGATGGTAAGAAAATATTCGGACAGTTCTTAAAAAGAACAATCTCTGTGGTTCCATATGGGGAGAAGCTTTTATGTGGTCTCTAAGCTGTTTTTTTCACGTTTGCTTGCTGTTTACGGAGATACAGGGATSAAATCCTGGTTTTGCTGAAGTTAGTGGCTAAACCGAGTAATTTTAGCAGGCTGTGGGCTCCAGTTTGTTCCCCTCCGTTAAAATAATTAAGTGGAGCACTGCGAACGCTTGGGAGACACGGTGTTTTTTTAATGATGTTGCCAGCATTCGTTTACAGTTGTTGCCCTCTCGAGGATTTAAAATTCCCCGTAGGGGYCCCAGCTCTGACACGGATGCAGATTTGAACCGAATCCCTTTTTGCCGTGGTGTAACGGAGAGGTGGCACTTTCCCTTCTGCTGTACAGAAGCCGGGGAGAGCTTCAAGTGCGAGCGCTGCGGCAAAGTTTTTGCCTACAAGTACTACCGGGACAAACACCTCAAGTACACCCGCTGCGTGGACCAGGGGGACCGCAAATTTCCTTGTCACCTTTGTGACCGATCCTTTGAAAAAAGGGACAGGCTGAGGATCCATATTCTCCACGTTCACGAAAAGCACAGACCTCACAAGGTGAGCCTGCTCCCGGGTCTCTTCCCAGTCCCTGTCTCTTCCAGGGGAAATTACGAAATGGTTGTTTTGTTTTGTTTTGTTTTGTTTTGTTTTGTTTGTCAAGATAAGATGCTGATGATGTTCTCTCTCCTTCAGTTTCCCTGGCAAGTTCCCTGGTGGGATTGCTCTGCCTGTGCAGGAAGAGCTAGTCATGTGCAGTAAAGCTTGGTTAAAGAAAKTAATGGGTTTAAATTGGGAAAATAAACCCCACAGTCTCAGAGAGAGTTTAAAAAGAAACAAAATTTCTCCCGGGCTTTTTGGATGTTTGCATATGAGTGTTGCTCCTTTTTTTCTTACATAGTGTAGGATGTTAGCTTGTGTTTAAAGGTGCTTTGCTAGCTCAGGATCAGGAGGGAGATGTCCCACATTTGTTTTCCACTCCCCACCCTTCGGTCTGAACCGACCACAGCTGTACCTGCATCTGTTGCACCACATAGGGCTTAAAAATTTTGCATTCAGTGTGWAACAGATTTTCAATTGATGAAAGCAAATTTTTGAGATACCTTGCTCATCTTCACCAACACCTTGTATCTAGTATCAGTTTTCTCTAGCAGCACAGGGAATGAAAAATCAGCCTTTTCCTAAAGGCTTGGGAGGGGTGAGTTCCAGTGCTTGAATTGGCACCGTTAAATCAGTTCTCAAAATTCTCCAAATACCTCTATTATAGATCATCCTACMATGTGATTTTTTTTTCCAGAAAAGTATTTTTTAACTAAAATGGCATTATTACAGTGTCAGAATATTTGCATGAAACTAGTAATAAAGATAAAAAATATTCTATTAAATAGGAGGTATTAAATACCATGCAATCCCTTTCCCTTTCTTTTTCCTATTCCCTTTCCTTAAYTGATTTAAGATTATTTTATTCTTTAGGAAGCTTATCTTTTAGGGAAAAATAACTGGATCTTGATTTATTTTTTTTTACTAAGTGATTTTACAGAAATTTTCATATTTTTGATACTGAAAATCAACATTTTTGTGGAAAATAACATTTTTTTATTAAAACAATTTTAAAATATTTGAAATTTTGCATGATTTTCATGCATATATAYACATATATGTAGATCTATTCTTAAAACCAGACTAAAGTTCTGGGTATTTCAAATTGTTGCAGTTTATACATAAGTACATAAATGTATGTGTATATAGATATATGCAAGTAAATACTTGAGTGCATCATCCACATACTTAAATTTTTCTTTTTAATGATGCTGTTACTTCCTTTTAACTTTATTCCTCTTTTTTTCCCCCAGTGCTCCGTGTGTGGGAAGAGCTTTTCTCAGTCCTCCAGCCTGAACAAACACATGAGGGTTCACTCTGGGGAGCGCCCCTACAAATGTGTCTACTGCAACAAGGTAAGGCAAAACCCTGCTCCATCCCTCCCTCTCTTCTCTGCTGCGCTTTTCTTCTCTGTTTTCTTCCAAGAAAATGCTCTGTATTTAAGTGGTAACCAGATAAGTGGATGTATTTTCTGKGCAGTTGTGAGGTAAAGTGACAGGGCTGGATGAGACTGAAGAAACAGGGTCTCGTCTCCATCTGACATGGAATTTGTGGTTTGTCTCAGCTCAGTGATCTGCTGCAGAAATAAGGTCTAGGAAGCTTGATAGAATTCTAAAATACCATCCAAGGCATGCAGTTAGGTTGAGTATTCTGCTTTTTCATCAGATTAGGTCATTTTTGGTGCTATTGAAACTGCTTCTGGATTGTAATAAACAGATTTTTATCTATTTTTATCAGTCTACAAACTGAACCTGCATAATATGAATTTGTGCATGCTTACCTTGAAATATTGGGGCTGTTGATGGGCAGCTTGAGGTTTCATTTAAAAAAGAACATTAACAGAACCATGCAACACTAATCAGAAACATGCTCTRCTGTTACTGCCCATCACAGCAGGGATGATTCGGGTGAGCTCTCCCTGTGAAAGTGCTGACAGCTCTCCCAGCAGACCATATGTGGATGCACAGGCTGCTGCTGGATAAATATTGGTAGGGTTCCAGGTGCCATGGAGTGTCCATGCAATGCAGAAGCTCCATCAGCAGTAGTAACCTCATGATYTTGTAAAGAGAGAAGTTTTGTTTASGACTGGCTGGACTAACACAAAGCTGAAGTGTCCTGCAGTAAAGAATCTTAAAAGAACCTCCTTTCGGCTGTTATAWTCTTTTGTCTGCCAATGATCCTGAACACACTTGTAAGCAGAGTTTAGGATGAAGTATCATCCTTAATTTTCTGATCCCATAAGGAGGTGGTAGTTTTGTAGGTTCCTCTGTGGAGAGATTGCTAGGGATACTTGACCAGACCCCAGCCAGTTCTGGGTGGACTGTTGTGGATTGGAGCAAATTAAACTATTAGTCCTCAGGCTGCAGGATGCAGCTATCCTGGAATGCAGCCATCATTTCTGAGGCTGGAAAATCAGGGTCTGTTTTAAGGAATCCTCACCTGCTCCTACAGGATCATGATTCCTCTTCTCTTGCAACTCTTAACAGTGGCTTTGCTTTTCCAGCTCCTTTGCTGGAAAGCTGTGGTCACTCATATTGGCAGCATTGTAAGTTTAAAGGAACAGTGTTAGGTCAACATCACCATTCTCTCCCTAAAATGTATTTTGGTCCTTGGTATACACCTCCAAGGATGTATATCTAGGAGTCTGCTATCTGCACTCTAAGGTTTCTAATGAAAAGATATCTGAGATGTATTGCTGTTTGCTATGAAAACTTGCCAGAGAGCATTTTGTGTGCTCTGCAAATAGTGAAGAGCCTAAAATTGTTTCTCTTTGGAAAAGAAAAAATAAAAACCCACAAACTTCTCAACATTCCTTTTCAAATTCTGATAAGAGAGTTTTATCCCCAAATGGAAGAGAAGTCTTTATGACATTGCTACTCAAGTATGTGTGTTAGTGATGGGGGAACAGGCTGGAAACTGCCAAAAGAAAGAGCAGAGTATGACAGAGCAGGGAAAAGAAACCTGTAAAATATGTATGGTGGGCTGCATGGATGAATTTTAACAAATGAATACYAAGACAGACAAAGGGTTTAACTTCAAAAATAAAAGCTGAAAGGAAAGCCTGCATTATGTTTCCCAAACATAAGGAAGCTGCAAAGCTAATTAGGGCAGTATTGACTTCTTACCTCTGACATTTAGAAGATATTTACTGGTGCCATTGGTCAGAAATCTTTCTCTGAGATTCATCTATCTCCATGGACTCAGCCACATCTGCATAGCAATAGCTGTTGGCTTCTGATTCCTTATTGCTGGGAGTTTTCATCCTTTTCCTTCCAGTTACTTGAGGTTGTGAGCTATATCAGGACTAAATTTTCAGTGTAACTTGCTTCTGTTGAGGTCTGGGTTAGCTGGAGGTGGGGATTACACAAGTGAAAGCAAATTACTAGCAACTCCATCTCCTTTCTGATGACCCCTGCCCTTTCAGGCGTTCACAGCATCCAGCATCCTGCGCACTCACATCCGCCAGCACTCGGGGGAGAAGCCCTTCAAGTGCAAGCACTGCGGCAAAGCCTTCGCCTCGCACGCAGCCCACGACAGCCACGTGCGGCGCACGCACAGCAAGGACAAGGGCTGCACGTGCTCCGTGTGYGGCCAGCACTTCCCCGGGCAGGAGGATTACGACTTCCACATGAAGATTCATGCTGCTCATTAGTCAGGAGCCCCGTGCATATTGGTCTGTGTGTATCTGTGTGTGTGTGGCTGTGTGCACAGCGCAGGAGGTGACACCTGCAGTGGCTGTTGTCCAGTCTCTGGGCATATGACGGGATGGGGTACACCATGATGCCACTGTCCCTCTCCTMCCATACTCTAATCTCTTCAGGCAGTTCTTTCTGCCTCCCAAAACCCCTTTGTGCACAAATGTCACTGTGAGGAGTGTTTCTGCATCTCTAATGCACCATATCTGTGGCCTGGCTGGTGCAGTCCCTGTCAAAGCTTCTGCGAGGGATGTTTTTATCAGGTGTATTTCTCAAAGCTGATTTAACCCAGTCATGTTGTTTGGACACATGAACACAAGTCTAGTTTCCCTTAACCTGTCTTTTAATGATGTCCTATTTAAATGTGAAATTCTTCAGAGATCCTGACTGCTGGACCAAYGCAGAGGTGTTTAAAATCCTTTATTCAGCTGCTGGCACACTGGGAACTCCAGGACTGTGAGACCAACTCTTCCAGAGGGTGCTGGATGCTGGAGCCCAGAGGGAGAGAAATGGGGTATGGTAAGGTAGATGCAGGCCTGATATGCCAGCTAGCAGAGATTGTGGAGGTTAGCTCTGCCTTGTCAAGAGTTTGGAGCATTAGTGAGCTGTTGGGTGGATAATGAGCAGTCAAGTGGCCTCACAGAGGTGTTTCATTGTGGACTAAGAACAGACCAGCAGCAGGCACAATCCCAGCAGTGGGCTCTTTCTGCATTTCACTGAACCTGTCTGATCCTGGCTAGATAAGTCTTTGTGCTGAGCCCTCCTGTGAAGGGTGGATTCCTCTGCTACCCCCTGGCTTTATATTGGATGACTGTTATAGTGGCACTCCCTTCCTTTGCTCAAAATACAAGATTTAAAGTGTCAAATAGGTGATCTTAAGACTCTTCAGCCAGCCTAAAAACTCTGCACATGAAATTCCTTCCCCAGACTGCAGGAAAGGCTTTGCTTCCAAGGAGGACCAGAAGATGTCATCCTCCATGTCTCACTGATCATATAAGCAAGCCAGGAGTGATTTGTGCAGGTTTATGTACTTTCAAAACTTTTAAGAATTCTTAAGAAAGTGACATTCCATATCCATTCGAAATCTCAACTAGGTGGCTTTTCAAAAAGCCTGTGCTGTAGGACCACTAAGTATAGGGAGTTCTATGGTTAGTATAGAAGTTTTTATGATCATTTAGTGACCACCAGGACTGGCAGGGATATGAGAGGGCTCACTCTGTCTGTGGGATTGTGTGCTGCATCCAGAAGGGAATATGGATGTCCCTTCTGGAGTCTGTTGATGAACACAGGTGTTTTGATATTTCTGGGATGATTAAATTCTCTTTGAAGTATCCTAGATCACCTAAGATTTAACAAGATTTTTGCACATAAAATATAAGAAAAAAAAGTTTATTTTGTGCCAACTTTATCTGTCTCTTAAAATACAGCATAAAAACAGAAACAAATGTTACCTGTACACCTAATATACTGTGCAGATACTTTATCTGTAAATATATTGATTTGCACTGATTTTTGTAAGTTTTACTGTATCTTGAGTTGCTCTGTTCTCATTGTTTTAATGAAAAAAAATACTTAAAAATATTTATTGATCCACTTACTGGTAAGTGAAATATTGAAGCCTAGCACTGGGCAATATCTGAAATAAGCAAGTCCATTTGTATTGTGTGTATATATGTGAAGGTTTTAGGGTAGAATGAAAACCATGTTCTGATTTTGTTTGTGCTTTTTTAATACCAAATATTACTATAATACGGCAGGCTGAATCTTCAACATATTGAGGGCTGAATGCCTCACCTCTAAATAGGTAAAATTCACTCCTGARCAGAAAATTTTCACAGTACCTATGTGTACAAACCATGCTGAGGAATAGGTAGGGGAACTGAATCTTCCTTCCAGCTGCCTGCTGCTAGGAGACCCTTTTCCCCAAGTATACGAAATCCTGGCCAACAGAAACAACAACTGTGTGTGAAGGTTTTGTTAGCTTGGTCCCTTAAATCGGGATTGAGTGAAATCAACTACCTACTAATGAAAAAAATGTTATGGCTTTTAAGTACTGTGAAATGCATGGTTAGATTCCCATGCAGGTAACCTTTTTTTCTTCTGAATGAAGATTGTTTATTTAAATGGTACATTTGTAGTGCTCTTGTGTATATTTTCTTMAAAAAAAACCCTCAAATGTCTTGTGCTAAAATATTTGCACCTTTCTACAGCGTTTGATGTGTTGTCTGTAAAAGGGTATGTGAAGGGTTGTACTTGTACTTGTGATTGAAGGTACTCACTATCTTGCACATTAAAACTGTATCTGTTAATTTTGATGCCAATTATTGTGCGGAAAACCAGGCTGYGAAAAGCCAGTGTCCATAAAGGAGAYAGAAGTCTTGCAACTTTATTTGATTAAAGGTAGGGAGAGTCCACTGAGACATACCTTCGTGAGTTTTTGGAGGGTGCAGCCTCCTTTTATCCTAAAGTCAGCAGCATGTTGCCCTCTTCCTTTCCCCACTAGGAAGTTACAGCCTTTCTGMACCACTTTGAACATATCATTGTCCCCCAAAGTTCAGAAGTTAAAACTCTTAAGGTTCTGCAACAGACTTTGTGTGGCCCATTTTTCCGTTACCATAAAGTTCAGGAGCTGTAGTCAAACTGTCTGGGTTCTGTGACAAAAATGCAGCTTGAGGTTGGTAGAGACATTAACACTCATTTCTCCTAACAATCCTCACCTATCGAGTGTTTTGTAAGGACATTAGCACCCACCTTTCCTATCATTAATATTACAATTACATTCATGCAAGGAATGAAAATTAATTATTTTAGGCTATAGTGTACATAATTTGTCTATGGCTTTTTTCTGCCCTAATGTCTATGGCTTTTTTCTGCCCGATGCACTGGAGTTGTGTGTTTAAGGTACTAAAAAAATGGTTAAAGGGTGTTTTCTGTGTCATTTGTAAACCACTACAGAGTCAAACTGTCACTTATTGGGAATTCCAGTCCTTGTCCTGCTGCGTAGCAGCTGTCTGCGCTAGAAGTCAAAGACATTCTGTGTCTTGATGGATTAGGCCTTAAGTGCCCCAACAGTTCATGAAAGCTGAGGCCATTCAATTCTGGATTGAGTTCACTCCCACTTGCAAGCAAGATGATGGATCCGGATTGAGCACTAAAAAAAAGAATTTGACTACTCTGTAGCATTTAACTACCCTGTAGTTATCCTCTCCCTTTTGAATAGCGAGTCCCAGCTGTGCTGGGGCTGGGGATAGTGAGGATGGCACTTGGTGCTGCACGCTTCACAGCAGGGTGGGGAGAAATGGATCAGGAGGGAGGTCAGGCTGAGCCGCCTGCCAGCCCGTGGCAGATTTTAGCATCCTGCAAGAAAGATGCACTGATTGTCAGAGCAAACAAATTGCTGTTCTTGCCAGGCAGGGGTTAAAAAGACTAAGGAATGCTCCTCTGGTGCACCTGTGCCCTGTGTGTCCATCGAGCTGAAGTTTTCCTCTCCGAGGATTTGCACGTTTACTTGCGTATTTTGTGGCTGTCCTCAGCAGCTGAGCGAATGTGCAGCTCCAGGCAGCTCAGCCAGAAGTGAGGTTTTGGATATTTATACACAGTTAAGGGGGGAAAGGGAGGGAGCTTATTTGCATGCTGCACTTTTTTATCTGGCGGGTTCCCAGAAGGACTGCACGACACAGRAGGACATGTGCATCAAGAATTCCACACTGCAAGTTCTGCAGAAAGGAGAATATTTGTGACCAAGTGTAAAGACTCAGTCCTTGTCCTGGACAGACCCGGCCATCAGGTTCCTTGTGAGCAGGCACCACGGTGCTCCTTGCAGACAATTCTGAGCTGGGGCAGCAGAAAGCAGGGCATCCCTGCAGTTCTTGGGGGACTGGGCTGTGGCTTTGCACCCTGTACTAAATCCATCTCTTCCATTTCTCGGCATCTCCTAACATAGGACAGAAGTGACAGTAACTACAGTAATGCACTACATGCAATAGGTATCCGTGTTTCTCACTCAGTTTGGCTGTGGGGTGATGYCCCCATCTGGGGTCACACTCACTGCATTCACTAGGGCAAAGGATGTATGCACCCTGGTTTTCTTTCCCTTAACTGGGATTGAAAATGGTCCTGCCAAGGGTAGCAGCAAGACAAATCCCTGGGGCTAATCCAGCCTGTAAGACACTAGCTGTGTTTAAGTGCTCTGCATTAACTCAGCCAGAGTTTTTAAAATGTTAATAGAAAGTGATCTAAATAGAAACCAGAGTATGAGGGCAATCAACTGTTTTGTTGGAGCAGAGGGGTGCCCAGAGAGAGAAAGAGAGAGACTGAGAGGCTGACTCCTCAAATGCTCTCCTGGGTGAATGACAATGGGGAGACAAAAAAAAAAAAGGTGGTCCCCGAGCTCAGGCTTGCAAGTGTGAAGGAACAAAAGGCCTGGCCACCGACATCTGCTGCCTCTAGCATCTCCTGCATATCCCTGTTTTTCAAACACCTGGTCCCCAGCCCCTGCTGCCCCAGCCCCTGTCCTGCTGCTCACTCTGGAGAACAGGGAGGTGGTTAACCACTGAAAGAAGGCGAAAAGCAACAAGGAGCTTAGTGAGTTGAAGATAATGCCACAGAGGTCAGTGCCCAAAGTGCTGACCCTACAGACACAGCCTACACCTACAGCGCCACCCCTACAGACACAGTCACCGTCCCCTTCACTTCCCTTTCTCTCCTGACACACATCCCCTTGCACATTTTCCCTTCTGTCCCTCCTTAATGCACTTAGTGCAGGGCCTTGGGAACATGAAGTGTGCAAGGCTCTGTCTTTGCTCTCTTCCTTCCTTTTGTTTTTAACTTCAGGTGAAACACTTGCAGATTTTCAGTCTGTGTATTTATGATGTTTGATTCAAGGTTTAAAGAGGTCTAATCTCCACCAGTGAATGTCTTTTCTGAAAAGCCAGTCTCTACCAGGAAGGTTCCTGGG